CCCTTTCCTTCCCTTCCTTTCCTCCCTCCCTTTTCCCTTTCCCTCCCTTCTTCCTTCCTTCATTTCTTTCCTCCCTCTCTTTTCCTTCCCTTCCTTCCTCCCATTTCCTTTTCACTTCCTTCCTTTCCTCCCTCCCTCTCACTTTCCCTTCCCTTCCCTTCCTTCCTTCCTTCCCTCCCTCCCTTTTCCCTTTCCCTCCCTTCTTCCTTCCTTCATTTCTTTCCTCCCTCCCTTTTCCTTCCCTTCCTCCCTCCCATTTCCTCTTAACTTCCTTCCTTTCCTCCCTCCCTCTCACTTTCCCTTTCCTTCCCTTCCTTCCTTCCTTTCCTCCCTCCCTTTTCCCTTTCCCTCCCTTCTTCCTTCCTTCATTTCTTTCCTCCCTCCCTTTTCCTTTCTTTCCTCCCTCCCATTTCCTTTTCACTCCCTTCCTTTCCTCCCTCCCTCTCACTTTCCCTTTCCTTCCCTTCCTTTCCTCCCTCCCTTTTCCCTTTCCCTCCCTTCTTCCTTCCTTCATTTCTTTCCTCCCTCTCTTTTCCTTCCCTTCCTTCCTCCCATTCCTTTTCACTTCCTTTCCTCCCTCCCTCTCACTTTCCCTTTCCTTCCTTTCCTTCCGCCCTCCCTTTTCCTTTTCCCTTCCTTCTTCCTTCCTCCCTTCCTTCCCTCCCTCCCATTTCCTTTTCACTTCCCTCCCTCCCTCCCTCTCACTTTTCCTTCCCTTCTTTCCCTCCTTCCTTTCCTCCCTCCCTCCCTCGTATTTGAGATTGGAATAGGGGTGTGCATGCTTTCTGGGCAACGCGGCTTAGCCCGCCTGCGACAGGAGGAAAATCCCCTTTTTTCTGCATCCATCCGTCCATTTAAAGGACGTAACACGAACAGGAGGGGAGGGGGAGGCGTTCAAGTCCCAGTTTTAAGACTTATGAGATAGGCAGATTGTTCGTTTTTTTCCAGACATGTCCTCAGGATAAACTCCGCTGTATTCTCGCACACACCCCTCCCTTCCCATCCGTCACGCCAGCGCGTTTTATTTTAAAGAAAAATAATTCATATAATCCCAAACCACCCAGGATCTTTCAGATGCGGCCTCCCCAGTGGCTGCTCACATGCCAAGTTTGCTTTCTGCTTCCAAGTTTCTCGTAGGGGGGTTTGAAGCTCCCTAAAGCAGCCCCCTCCCCTCCCGTGGGTCGGCTGGACCTAGAGGAAGGGGGAGAAAGGGGGAGAAGGCTTAGGAGCCTGGGAGGAGGAGGAGGGAAGGAGGGAGGACTTGTATTTTGAAAAGGGGCTCCTGGCGGAGGTCTAGGGAGGTGGGAGTTTTCCTTGTGTGCGGCTTGGATATTCTGCCCGCTTGGAAGGTTTAATGGCGCTCCAAGCGCCAGGAAATCCCCGTGCCCGAAACCCAGGCAAGGTAAGGCTGCTTTGCGAGACCCGAGGTTGAGTTGCAAAGCCGAAAGCAGTTGAGTTCCCTTTCCTTTCTTTTCCTTTTGTTTCTTCTTTTCTTTCTTTTCCCTTCCCTTCTTTCCTCTCCTCCCTCCATTTCCCTTTCCTTCATCTCTTCCCTTCCCCCTCCCGTTTCCTTCCTTCCCTCTCCCTATTTCCCTTCCTCCCTCCCTCCCTCCCTCCCTTTTCTCCCTCCCTTTTTCTTTCCTTTTCCTTTTCCTTCTTTCGTTCTTTCCTTTCTTCCCTTCCTCTCCCTTTTCCTTTCCTTTCCCTTTTCTCCCTTCCCTCCTTCCTTCCCTCCCCCTCTCTCCATTTCCCTTCCTTCCCTCCCTCCCTCCCTCTCCCTTTTTCTTTCCTTTTCCTTTTATTCTTCCTTTCTTCCCTTCCCTTCCTCTCTCCCTTTTTTCCCCTCCTTCCCTCCTTCCTTCTTTTCTTTCCTCCCTCTCTTTTCCTTTCTTTCCTTCCTTCCTTCCCTCTCCGTCCATTTCCTTTTCTTCCTTCTTCCCTTCCTTCCTTCCCTTCCTCTCTCCCTTTTCCTTCCCTCCCTCTCCCTCCATTTCCCTTCCTCCTTCCCTCCCTCCCTTCCTTTTCTCCCTCCCTTCCTCTCCCTTTTTCTTTCCTTTTCCTTTTCTTCCTTCCTTCCCTTCCCTTCCTCTCTCCCTTTTCCTTTCCTTTCCCTTTTCTTCCTTCCTTCCCTCCTTCCTTCCCTCCCTCTCCCTCCATTTCCCTTCCTCCTTCCCTCCCTTCCTTTTCTCCCTCCCTTCCTCTCCCTTTTCCTTTCCTTTCCCCTTTCTTCCTTCCTTCCTTCCCTCCCTCTCCCTTTCCCAACTCCCTCCCTCCCTCTCCCCACGCATTTACCGTTTTTTTCCCCCCATGACAGAAGCACTGCGTATTCTGTCAACTCAAAAAGAGGTTGCTAGGCAGCCTGCCTTCTCCTAACCCAAGACTTTCGGATCTCCGAGGGAAGCCTGGTGGAGGGCACCATTCTCCCACCCCCACCCCCCACCCCGCCTGTCGCTGGGAGGATGCGGGCGTCCACCTGGACGGGTGTCGGAGGGGAGGGAAAAGAGGCGGCTGATTGGCGGGAGCAGGGAACCGGGCCTGCAGGGATGGCTGGGGAATCCATTTGGGGCACACGCGCTCTGCTAGGGACGGCGAAGGACACACGGGGGCAAGCGCCCGTACGCTCCAGTTGAGACAACCAGCGACCGGAACCAGGAAAAGTGGTTGGTGTGTTAAGGCAGGCACATTTCCTGCGACTCTTAAGGCGCCTGTGTTTCGGGCACGGAGGATGGATCGTCTGCGCTGGGGTAGGAACGAGAGCATCTCCGCCAAAAAAAGAATGAAAAAAAATCAGTGGGAAACTGATTTTAAAGTCTCCCCATTCGGAGTTTTCCGAAGGGATGAACGCACGCAGCCCTTTCGCCTCCCAGTCTATCCAGGAAGCTTTGCGAGCAAGGAGTTGTGCAAAAGAAAACCCTCGACCCACTTAACACACCGCCGAGATTCCAAGCAGAACTGCTTGTAAACTTTGCCCGTGGAAGGATTGGGAAGGGAGGAGGTGGGAAAGCCTCTTTATTTTTGCGGTTCCCTAGCCTAGCGGAGCGCCGAGAACAGGGAAGCAGGGGCAGCCGAGAACAGGGAAACAGGGAGAGCCCACGTAGATGGCCAATTTAATTATTACGGGCGGCCTCTCGGTGGTGTGCTCCCTTCAAGGAGGAGGGGGAGGGGTGCATTGCCTGGTTCATTTCCCTCCCCCCTCCCTCCCCCTGCAGCAGAAATCTAAAATGCCACCCGGATAACAAATGGGGGGAAGCCCTAATTGTCTGTGGGGGGGTGGCATTTGCTGCTGCTGACGATGTGCCCGTTGGACGCGAGGTTTTAAAGCGAGTCTCTCTCTCTCTCTCTCTCTCTCTTGCAGGTACTGCTTGATGAGCGTCAAAGGATGCTTCACCGATTTCCACATTGATTTCGGAGGCACTTCGGTGTGGTATCACGTCTTCCGGGGAGGGAAGGTAAAGCCGAGTCTCCTTTCTAAAAAAATTAAAAATAAAAAAATTCCTTGTTCAAGAGCGGAGGCGCAATAATTTTTTTTTTTCCTTTCCAAAATATGGTTTGAGCAAGGGGGGAAATCGCCGAGCTAGGAAAGGCAGATGTGCTGTGTGCTGAATTTAAAGTAGAATATTGGACATGCTCATTGGCTTCTTTTTTTTAAAAAAAATAAACGTTTATGCATGGAAATGTGACATATTATGCCTGCCGGGTTTTCTCTCTCTCTCTTTCTCTCTCTCTCTCTCCTCTCTCTCTTTCTCCTCTCTCTTTCTCTCTCTCCTCTCTTTCTCTCTCTCTCTCTCCTCTCTTTCTCTCTCTCTCCTCTCTCTTTCTCTTTCTCTCTCTCCTCTCTTCTCTTTCTCTCTCTCTCCTCTCTTTCTCTCTTTCTCTCTCTCCTCTCTTTCTCTCTCTCTCTCTCTCTNCCACAGATGCTCCTGTGCGCCTGCCTCCTTGTGCAGCCTTTCCCACGGAGGCTCCTTCAAAGTCGGGGCTGTCACTGGAGGGAAGAAGCGAGGCTTCACCCGTGCGGCTCCTCGGAAGTGGGGACCAACGGGCTTTGCTTAAGGAAGCCGGGTGGCGTTATTGGGGACGGGGCACCTGAGCCGGAAGGAGTGGAGGCGGCCGATGCAGCCGTCGTCCCAGCTCCTCCGCTGCCCTCGCTGGGAGGGCCCTGAACCAGCCGGGAGAGTTCTGGGTTCGGTGCTTCCAGGTGGGAAGGACGTTACGGACCACCCCTCCCATTCTGCTGGGCATGTGGGCTGAAGGGAAATGCAGAGGATCTGGACCAGGCACGTTGCTGGTTCAAGTCCCTCCCTGCTCACCTTCTCCTAGTTGCTCTGAGGGGATAATGGGGAGAGTTTCCTGGGCGTCCCGGCAGGTGCTGGGGTGCTACTGGACTAAGCTGGGCCCACCTTTCCAGGGCGATCTGGGAGAGGCAACGGGCAGTCCCGTGCGGTCAGCCTTTCAGTTGCACGCTGCAGGGCTCCAGTCCTCAAGGGAGGCAGAGCCAGAAAAAACGGGATGAATTAAAGGGGGGGGGGTTGGAGGTTAGTAGTAGTCTTGTCTCAATTTCTGTGGCATCATCCTAGTGGGGAGCCCTGCTGCCGATGCGTCTTGGCTGAGGAGGAATGAAGGGAAAGGGGAGGCCAGCCGCCACATCTGGCCGGGAGGCCCCTCTGCGCTTTGGCCCCGACAGAGGCAAACGCTCGCCTGCCTTCTGTTAGTTCGCAGCTCCTGTTCAAATGCAGCCCCTCCAGAGCGGCCGGATTGGCTCAGGCGGAGACGGCCACGTGTTGCCTCGCTAAGCGGGCGGCTGGCCCTGTGGGCCCGAAAGGGAGCTCCCCCCCCCCCAGCCACTGGGGAGGAATTGACGCAAGGCAGCTGTTGTCTGGAAGGGGCCATTTTTGTTTCCTGAACATGGAAAGCGATGCTGGATGCTTCTGGTGCTGCTTTGGTGGGGTTGATAAGACCGACCAGAGGGCAGGGGGCTCCATGCCTGTCCCTGCAGGCCATTCCCCCTGCCAGGCTGGTGCCCCCCACAGCTTTCCTCGGCAGGCTTTGGCCCCTTCCTCCTCGGCCGCCCATGCAGCCACTCAGCCCGCAGAGGAAGCTCTTTCTCCGGGAGAATCCAGGGAGAGCAAAGAGGGAGACTCCCCCAGGAGAAGGCCCAGCAAGGGCCCCCCTCCCTCTTGCCAGCTGCAGCAA